GGACAAAAGGCAGGCAGAGACAGAACTGTGACTGTGTGATGGCTAGGGAAGAGCCAGGGGAGAGGGTGGGGCAGGAGGAGCCTTGAACTCTGAGCCCATGCCAGGAAGGGCCAGGATGGCTACTGGGGTCCTTGGGCCAAACCCTGTGTTATACCCTAGCCTGGCTGTGCCTATCACTGGCACAGCAGCCTAGGGCATTGTGGCCTCAGTGAGAAGACACTGGCAATCCAGGACTCCAGGCCACATCAGCTGCCTCCAGCAGGAGGTCCAAGATGTGTATGTTCATGGCCACAAACTACTCTTGCTTACTGGGCAGCCTTGGGAGACTCTACTCCAGCTCTCTGAACCTCAGATTCTGCTTCTGAAAACCAGCAGTGATATAATAGTATTTGGGATGGAGATTTATTTTCCATTTTCTATAGCTATGTGACAAAGCAACCCCAGATTTAGTGGCTTAAGACAAAAATGCTTCATTATCTCTCAGTTCTGTGGGTGGATGTGCTCCGCTGTGCGGCTCTTCTTCACTTGGGGTGGCCGAGGACACTCATGTTGCTGGACCCAGGTTGAACTCCACTGAGGCTGGAGTGGATGAGATGCAAACATTCTAGGAAGACAGGCCTATAAGCAGAGGCCAGTGGCCCATCGGCCACAGCAAGTCTCATGCCCAAGCCCAGGGTCAACATGCAAGAGCCTGAGCGCCAGAGAGCATGATTCCCTGTGGGTCACCAGCATCACATGCTGCCACTAGGTAGGGGGAATGAAGCGATAATGCCGCCACTAATGCTCTGTGGTGTCCAGTGTGCCTCAACAGATGTGCCCATAAATGGTGACCAGCCCTATGAATTATTCTCTGGCAGGCTCCAGGGGTCAGAGGAGCTCTGAGGAGAACATGGCAGAGTGGCCTGCAGCAGGGCAGCAAGGGGAGTCCATAGTCCCTGTCCCAGCCTAAGCATTCCTAGGTAGAAGCGAGGTAAGTGGTAGAGGCCAATGCCAGAGTCTGGGTTGACAGAAGCTCAATAGATCAAAACAGGCCTCTCAGGATAAGGAGAAGACCTCTTGCCAAGAAGTTTCCTAAGGTAAGGGCCTCACAAATAGGAGTGGGGCAAAAAGTCCTTGGACTCTCAGTTTCTCATCAGTCATAGACTTCAGAGGGAGAAGGGTGTGAGGGGGAGGCTTCTCCATGGTGAGTGAGATCAGGCAGTAGGAACACCTTCTAGAATGTTCCCTATAACTGCTTCGTCTCAGGAGACTGCCAAGCCCAGAGTTGAGTAGACTCGGTGGGCAATCATGGAACATACGAGAGTTTCAGGGATCAGGTGGAGGGATGGTTTGGTTAGTGGCAGCATTTGGAAGGACAGGTACAAATTTATGTTTATTATTTTACATAGTCTTTCAGCCACTCCCTGACACCTCTTTACAGATGACAAACTCACACCCAGGGATGTTTCCTGAGGTACCCGTGGCCACACAGTTACTCAGGGAATGAGCTGAGACTTCAACTTGGGCCCTTGACAGCACTGTATCAGATATCAGCACAGCATACCCCACACGGGGACAGCATTGTCTCAAGGGATTCTGGCAGACAGGCCCGGCCAGCAAGCAGAGAGCCCAGGGCCCACAAAACCAGACAGTCCTTGTGTGTCCCCAGGGAACCAGGGGGCCCAGATACCCACTGCTGCTGCCTCCTCCCCACCCCACTCCCAGTACGCCTGAGGATGAAGTCACTTGGCCTCCATCCCAGCCCTGGGGCTCCTGAAGGGCCCCTGTTGGCTTTGAAGTGTGGGTGACAAGAGCGGACAGCGTCAGTGGAAAAGGAAACAAAACCCTCTTCTTTGTGCCCCACAGGACATGAAATCCTGAGCAGCGGAGAACTGGGGGGCTGGAACAGAGTCCTCTTTGACAGCGGAGCAGGAAGGCCTGGGTGTGGAAAACCAACAGCAAGGGCCTGAGAAGATGGACACACTGTGGCCCTGGTGAGGGGTGCGGGCCTTCCCATAGAGAGATGCTGGGAGGGAGAGAGGGAGGGAGATGCTGTTATTAAAATAAATCTCACCGAGGAATGATGGAGGCCCCAAGAAAACAGGCATTGGCTAGAGGGTGGGGCAGCAAGCAAGGCAGAGGCAGGGGCAGGGGCAGGGGCAGGGGCAGGGGCAGGGGCAGGGTGTGCTGAGACCTTGGGCTGGACTGGTGCTGTCGGAGCAGCCCTATTTCACTTGCATTGGAGTAAGAGCTCAACCTTCGGGGGCATCTGATAGAGTCCACAGTCCTTGTTCCTCTACCCTCCAGTGTACCTGCAGATAGAACTGAAGGTGGGGTGAGAGAGAGGCCACCTGAAGCCTGACTGTAGCCCTCAAGGACAGGGGGTCTTAGTGAGAAGTCCCCTGGCCAGCTCCAAGTGGCAGTTAGTAACCCAGGGGCAGCTATAAGAGTCCGAGTCCTTATCAGGGTTCGCAAAACCGTACAGGATCCATTGCGCAAATACAGCAGGTGTCCACTCCTCCTCCAGGGCCCGTGTGTGACCCCTCTGCCTAAAACGCCATCCCCTGCAGGTCTCCCTAGCTACCTCTCTAAAAGGCATCTTTTCTTGCTCTCAGCAGCCCTCTAACTGGAGCGCATCCCCCATTATGTTACATCCCTGTGTAGTCTGTCCATTTCCTGTCACCTGTTTTAGAAGGGACATAGAAAGAGACCTGCATCTGTTCTGTCACCTTCTGCATTGCCAACACCTAGAACTCTGCCTAGCACATGGCAATCACTCCATAAAAAAAAAAAAAAAAAATTCACTGAACAAATGAATGCCAATTCACTCCTCTCTGTTGTCCAACAGGACGCAGATGTTATTTCCAAATGGAATTTTAAGAAATCCTCTGGAAGCAGAGCTGCTGCCCCGCGTCAACACCGAATGGCTGCTTGGTACCTACTGTGCATGCGGCCCCATTTGGCTAAGGACAGGGATAAGCAAAGGAGAGTCGGTCTGCTCTTCGTGGTCTGAAGGCCTGCAGCCTCGGGAGTGCTCGGGAGCCGTGGACGGCTGGGGGGCTTTGAGGAAAAGGCCTCACAGGCCAAGGGCTTAGCAGAAGATGGGGCCTTCCTCCTCAATTCCCTAGAGACAAGACTGGACCCGATGGAATTCTTAGGGGACTGTGTGACCCGGAAATCTGGAGAGGAGATGCTGGACGTGGCTCCTGCAGGCCTGCAATCAACCTAAAGCAAGCAGTGAGAACATGGGCCTGGGGAGGAACCTCACTGGGCCTCACATTGCCCATCTGTCCAATGGGGCCCAGGACACTTTCCCCAGTGACCTGTTGGCCCGTTACATGGGAATTGGGGGCTATGACAGCAAAGCAAGCCCTGTCCTTCCTGACTCCCAGGTTCTGGCCACAAGGATGGACAGGCCAGGGTTCTCTCTGGGCCTCGTGTTCATTGCTGTCCTCTGAGATGGGTCAGGCTACCACCTGCAGCCTCCTCCCACATGCCTTCACCTCTGTGTCTACCAGGCTTCATCCTGGTAGCTGGAAGCAGAGGGTGGCTGGGTTATACTCCTGCAGGAAGATTCTCTTCCTTTCTCCACCTCCACCTTCCTGACTGTGGAACCCAGTGGCTTTCTAAATCAGGCCAAGCCAGGCACTGAACCTGGAATTTTGTTTTTGAGGCAGAGACAGCAAAAGCACCAGGGGCAGGAAGTAACTGTGTTTGCCCGCTCTGGATTCTAATTGTGTCCTGGATGTTTTCCAGCTGTGGAACACCAGCCAAGACACACAGCCCCTCCCAACTCCTATCTGAAAAACAGAGGTCCAGGAGATGCTAGGAGCCATGGGGTGTTGGAATCATGGGCCAGCTTCCCTGGGTTGTGGTGCTGGACACACTGGGACCCCAAGTCTGGGCGAGCAGCTGTGTCTCCAGCACTCCACCGGCCAGCACCACCAGGAGGGCGCTGGCTGCATGGGAAAGGGTGACACCCATTGCCCCGCCTTCTTCATTCCTCTCCCCCTCTTCTGAGGCTGCTGCTGCTGGCTGCCTATTTTCCCAAGCCAGGCAAAGACATGGGGCCTTAGCGACCCCTCTTGTCAGATCTGTGTAATAGCTGTTGGGCTGGAGGTAGTGTTCAGGACCAAGACTCCCACCCTGCTTTGGAGAGTGGTGGGAAGGGACACTTCCTCTGGAAAAATCCTCACCCTGCTTTCCAGATTCCCTAGGCACCTATTGTTCACTGGTTCCTTCATTTCCATCTTTAGCTACTCATCCATATGAGTTAAGAATGAGCATTCAACACACACAAGCCAAGAACTCCATCCATTGTGCCTTGGAACTATGGCAGGTGTAGACCAGCAAAGTCTACACGTCAGAGGGGGCCCAGGCCCTAGGAATTCCAGGGTCAGATTCATCCACTATCAACCCATCCACCTACCCACCTATCTGTCCGTCTGTCCATCCATCCATCCATTCATCCATCCATCTGTCCATCCATCCGTCCATCCATCTGTCCATCCATCCATCCATCCATCCAGCTGTCCATCCATCCGTCCATCCTCCCACCCACCCACTCATCCACCTGCCCACTCCTTTATTTACTTGTTCCAAACCCCAGCCAGCATCCTGTTACTATTACAAATATCTAAGGCAACCAGCTTTATAAACAAGAAAACCTTATTTTGGCTCATAGTGCAGAGACCATGGTGGGTTGGGCTTGTTGCTTCTACACATCATAGTGGGAGCACAAGGGAGCTGGCAGCTGTAGACCAGCAAAGTCTGGAGTTCTACCTCCATGACAACTTCAAAGGCACAGGGAGGAGGCCAAGCCTCTCAAAACACCCTTCAAGGGCACCTGCTAAGGGCCCACCCCGACACACAAGGACTCTTAGACAGAAGCACCCAAGAACAAGCCTGCAGCCCGTGGATAGTTCAGGCACAACCCAGACTCCAACTACATCAGCTACTGCGTCCCCTACAGGCCACATGCCCCTCACTGCACGAATAACAGTAAAGGAAACAAGCCCGCAATGGCGCACCCCTGTAATTGCAGCCGATTCTCCTAAGGCAGGAGAATCACAAGCTTGCCCTACCTGGGAGACCTAGTGAGACCCTGTCTCAAAATAAGATTTAAAAAGAGCTAGGGGTAGCTGGCACGGTGGCTTGTGCCTGTAACCCCAGCGCTCTGGGAGAATGGGGAAGGACGATGGAAAATTGGAGCCTAGCTGGGGCCTCTTAGCAAGTCCCAGACTCGGAAAAGGAGAGGGGATGCAGCTCAGTGCCAAGGCCCTGGGCTGACTCCTCAGGACAGCAAACCAAAAGCACAACTAAAGAAGGCACCAACCCCAAGGAGTGAGCAGGCAGGTTCCCTGGAGAACAGGAGTCCATGGGGCCGGGAACGGGCGTTCCGGCGGAAGGAGCAGCAGAAGCAAAAGCCCGGAGGGAGGGCGGCAGAGTCAGGGGAGGTTCAGTGATTGGGGCTGTGGGAGGCTGTGGCAAGATTCAGGAGGGGCAGAAAGCACGAGCCTGTGGCGAAGTACCCCGAAGGACTACAGGTGTGAGCCCACCCGCGCGGTGGCGCACACCCGTCATCGGAGCACTCCGGGTGCTCGAGTTCCGCTCAAGGAATCCTGGCTGCATAGCAAATTCAGGGCCAGCCTAAATTACACAGTGAGACCTCAACACACACACACACACACACACACACACACACACACACACACACACGAGCATCTTTGTCACATTAAAGGGAAAAGATTCAGAAGTTGCAGATCGGTGGCTACAAGGCTGAAACCGTTGACCAGCAAAGACATCGTGTTTGCCAGGGCTCCTCATCTTGTCTTCGTCTGAATGCACATAGGTAGAGTCTCAGCACCCACCCAGGCTTCCTCTCCACCCCTCAGCCTAGCATATCGGTCACTGCTGTGTCCCTATAGGTAGTGACTTCGCCACCTTTAAGGTGGAGAAACGGGGATGCATGGTACACAGAGGAAGGATGTGAGCAGACGTTTCATCAGAAAGCTCCTCTCTCCATCAGGGATTCTTTTCTCTTCATTGTGAGGTTCCTCGGCTCTAACACCTTGAAATTTGCTGGCGATGTTGCCCTTGCTAGCCGGGTTCACGCCCTTCATCCTGCTCTCAATTCCTGGTCTCCCGGGGGAAAAAAGCAGAAATGGGAGCCGCCTGTGCTTCCACTGGCTCCTCTTGCCCAGGAGTTTCCCAGCAGTTGGGAAGCAGCAGGACCACCTGGGGGCCTTTGTGCACGCAGAGGCTGGGCCCCGCTTCCTGCAGAGCACCTGGGTTCCAGGTGATGCTGATTCGCTTCAAGGCTGAGAACCTCAGCTCCAGAACGGGGTCGTCGCTAAGGCATTTCTCCAAAGTGTTCAGAGAACCTGTTTTAGGCAATAGGGAGCTCCTGCGCAGATGACCCTGGAAGGGAAAAGGTGGATCTGATTACCCCCTTGGAACCACCATGTATTTAAAGTGGAAGTTGCAACCCAGAGCATAATTCACAAGCTTAGTGGGAAGAGAAGAGCGAGTCTACGGGCTCCCGCTACCAAGGAGGCTTTCAGCACGCGGAAGGATTCTAGGCTGTTGCAGAGATGAGTACTGACAGCGACCAGGGTGAGTGTGGGCCAAGCACACCTGGGGCCTGAGGTCCCGTGGGATGTGGGCACTAAGGAACTGAGGGAACTCATGGGTCCCAAGCAAGAGCCAAGCTTTGGGGACGCATAGACCTTCCCAGGCAGAGCTCACCAAGGGGTCATTGTGCAGTTGGTGGGGTGGAGGTGTAGAACATTTGAGATTAAAGGGCCTTGGGTCAGAGAGAAGCTCCTTTGTTCCGGCATAACTCCCAGGCACCTTTTCTCTCTCCCTTTCTTTCTCCCTAATCCTTTTTCCCCTTATAGAAGCCAATGATATGAGGCAGGCCCCGTTGCCTAGGCAGCATGACCAGCCTCGTAACCAGGGGAATGATGCTGAAGCTGCAGGTCTTAGCCGTAGCCTGTCCCACCGTGGGGTTGACATCTGGACATTTTACAACTCACACTTCAAGGACTATGAGGCTTACCAAAACAATAAATACCACCAAGTCTTGCACACCTCGGTAAGTACCAGGGCACAGCCTTGGGAGCCCAGCCAGACCCTGGGATGTTTTTAGTTCTGTGTTGAGCGCCCTACATGCACATTGGGCACTGTTGTCTTACTTGGTGAGGGCATGGCCACAGATTTAGGATGACGTGTCCCAGAAAGATGGAGAACTGGGATCTCGGTCCTGAGCTGCCCTGCCATCTTTTCTCAGATTTCTCCTCTTCACTACTCAGACAGGAACTGTGGTTGCAGGGGGCGTGAACCTACCCACAGGGAACAGAGGACAGGGATGACTATAGCTGTCCATCACAGGAACGACAGGAATGGAGCTCCCCAGAGCACTAGAGGGAACCCACTTCTGGTGGCCTGGGACGGTGCCTTAAATGCTGCTCCAGCCAGGCAGTGGGGGGTGGCAGTGGCACGTGGTCCCCCAGGAAGGAGAGGCAGCATGTGTAGAAGCTGTAAGTGGAGAAAGGCTCGGAGTGGTGGGACAGAAGGGCCCTGTGGTGAGAACACTCATGGTGGGTGCTGAGGTGAAGGAGGCAGGAGTGGATAGGAGGTGTTAAACACATTCTGAGGGTGACAGCCATCTGCCAGGTTTCCAGCCAAGGAGGGTCAGGGCAGTGCCTCAGACAGAGTGGGGAGGACAGTGCTAGCCAAGCCTTCCTTTGGTTGCCATTCAATGACAATGTGCTTTCTTAGGGCTGGGTTGAGTATTCCCATTGTGTTTCAAGGAACAGCAGCCCCTCCAGCAACGTGGGGGTCCCTGTGGGGAAGAGCAGAGGTGGTTAGCACAGACGGCCTGTGGAGGGTGAGGGTGTAGGCTCTGGGTCTGGCCCATGGAGCTGTGCCCCTCACCTGAGGTCCCATGGCTGGTAGATTATAACACTTATCTCTTTATTCTAGATTTCCATAGAACCCTTTATTGGGAGTTAACTAGCATAAAGTGTTTAGTCTAGAATCTGAGGGTTATGGGAAAAGGAGCATAATGCCACTATTAGTTCTCCATGTGGCTCTAAGGGGAAATTTTTTCAACCTTTAAGATTCTGAGGTCTTGGAAATAGATTGAATTGTCTCATGGGGCAGCAAGACCTGCTCTAATCTGAGGCACATACTCACTGGAGTCTCTGGGGGGGGGGCTCTAAGGGGTGGTATAAGAGACCAGCCTTAAGTTCCTTCCCCTCCAGGGCATCCTTAACTTTGGTATCAATGAGAACAAGCTGTGCATTGATCTGGTGGCTGCTAGGGTAAGTCCCACCCTGGGCTCTTCAGGGACCACTTCAGGGAAGCGCCCCGGCAGGCTCCTGTGTATGGGTTAGGTATGAATAGAACACAGGAGTTAGGGGATGGGAGTGGAGAATCGGGTCCCAGGATAGCATAGGTCACCTCCTGCCTTTGCCAAGAGTGTTCACAGGTGTTCTCTAGAAGGAACCCAGTGTGGGGGGTGCTAAGGGGGGATCAGGTGAGTGGGTTGTTGAATATTCCCCAGTGAGGGAGCTGTGTGGTAGTCAATGATGGTATCCACACCCACTCATGAGGGAAGGGGACAGCGCCTACCTTCCCCCCGGGGCTGGCGTACATATGGAGGACGCACATGTGCATTGGGAATAGGATGGATTTCTCTGCTCTGGCTTTTCTCATGCTGTTTGTCAACAGCTGTGTCAGAGGGACATGCAGTATGTTGAAGACCTCCAGCTGCAGTATCCCAGCCTGAGAGGACATCCTTTGTAAGTGATCTCCAGGATACAGCAAGGGAGGGACTCAATGCACCCTGTCCTTGGCTGGCTGCCACCCTGTCCCTTTGGGTTACAACTCTTAGGAAAGGAGAGCAAAGCCTGATCAGACAGCCTGCTCTGCAGAACAAGCCCTGGCCTGTAATGCCAGAGCCTGGGTGGGGTCTGGTCCCAACTCTCAGTTACTGTCTACAAGACCTGAACACTTGATATCCTTGTTTTATAACCACATATACAGAAGTTGGGCTGGGATGCAGAGTTCCTTTCAGAGTGGACATTTGTGCCTTTGCAAAAGGCTAAAATATAGACCCTCCATGGAGAGGGAGAACTGGGAACCATAAGAGGTCTCTGGGTCTGTCCACAGCCTGAGGGAAGCGGTGGCTCAGTTCCTGACATACTACTGCAGTGCTCCTCACCACCTGTCTTCGAGAAATGTGAGTCAGCTGATGGAGGGCTGTGTCCCTGGTGGAACCTCTGCCTTCACCGGGGAAGGCTGGGAGAACATGACCACGCCAGAGTTAAGGCTAATGGCACCTAGGTGCAGAAACTCCTGGTGTCTGTCTTCTCTGGGGAGGGGGCTGGTGTAGCCCCACATTTTGTGAGGGTACTGGTTGTTGACTTCTCCCATTGTATGTGTCTTCAGGTGGTTGTTCTGAATAGCTGCTCTGCCATCTTCTCTGTGCTGGCCATGGTTCTGTGTGACCCAGGGGGTAAGCTGGAGTACCTGGGCCCTGGGCCTGCAGGAGGCACCTTCTCTCTAGGGCTGTCCCCACAGCACTGGTGGCTCTCTGCTGATTAGGATTTCTCCCTATTGCTGACCAGAAGTTGGGGTTCCTCCCTTAATATAGAAGAGACACATGACCATTCTCAGGCAGTGATGATGGGGGGGATGAAATCATTCTGTTCCTAGCTGGGCTCTTGGACCATTCTGCAGTGTGGAGAAGCCTGGCAACCCACTTAGAAATTACAGTTTGTCTAGCATCTCCCTCATCCTCAAAATGCTAGATAGTTCTGGACCAGATAAGTCAAAAGATCCATTCTCAGGTACAAAATACAGGTGCCTTCTTGGCACGAGCCTTGGCCTCCAGTGTTTGGCCTGGACCCTGGCGCGCTTTCCCAAGGCCCCGCACCCTGCCTGCTAGCTGGCCTGGCTTGCCCTGGGCCCGGGATCCTCAGCTGTTCATGGCAAGTCTTTCCACTTCTTCCTCAGTGGCCCTCTCCAGAGCAAGTTTGTTTCATTGCCAAAATGTCTGCAAGAGCAGACAACCTTTATGGAGCCCGAGGGCAAGGGCATCAATCCCCAGACAAGACAGACTGCTCGAGTGGCCTCTTCTGTTGGTAGCTTTGCTGCTCCTCTGGCAGTGGGGAGGCTGGCAGTTCTGAGGGAACGTGGACTAATGGTTTCTTCTCCCTGTGCTTCCAGATTGTTTCCTGGTCCCCACTCCTTTTATAAGTGCGTTTATCATTGCCTCCAAGATATGCACCAATGTCGAGCTGATTCCCGTCTACCTGGACAGTGAGGTCAGAAGGGGCCCCTTCCCTGCTCAGCCCACCCAGGCACTGCACTGGTGTGGTGGGCACTGAGGAGGCACAAGGGCCGTTTCTCGCTCGCTCTCTCGCTCTCTCGCTCTCTCGCTCTCTCTCGCTGTCTCTCGCTGTCTCTCGCTGTCTCTCGCTCTCTCTCGCTCTCTCTCGCTCTCTCTCGCTCTCTCTCGCTCTCTCTCGCTCTCTCTCGCTCTCTCTCGCTCTCTCTCTCTCTCTCTGGTGATGGAAGAAGGGCAGAGATATCAGGGTGAGGAAGCCACGCCTGTCTAGCATCCGGGTACGAAGGCCAACCTTGGCCTGGGTTTGCAGTGAAGCATCAGGGCTCAGAAGCCGTCTGCAGGGCAGTTCTCAGTAGAGCTTCTCTTCCAGATCACTGATGAGGACACCCTGCCTTTCCAGCTCACGGTAGGCAAACTGGAGCAAGCCCTGCTTGAAGCTACGACGCGGGTAAGGAGGGAATCCTATTTTCAGGGGGTCCTTAAAGGTGTTGAGTGCTGAGCATCTGGTAGACCTGCTCACCCCACTTGATGGGCTGGCTTTAGTCAGAAGAGGCAGTAAGTGCAAAAGCAAGGCTCCTGGCTGTGGCAACTCCCAGAGCACCTTCCTGCCCCTGCCCAGGCAGGATGGCCAGGGCTTTCTGTGGCCTCATTTGTTTTTCTGTACAGAAACTGACCTATGAAGGCTTCTTGGTTGACCTTGGGAAGATGGAAAGCTCCTGTGTTCACTCTTGTGTTTGGGTTCTTCTTAGTGTAAGAAGGTCAAAGGCCTCTTGCTGCCCAACCCTCAGAATGCTACGGGTCATGTCTACTCGCAGGAATCCCTGAAAGAATTCTTGGAATTTGCCAAAAGGTAAAAGCTGTGTTCCTTCTGACTCTGTGACATCCCCTTTACTCATAGTCATGAAATCGGGAGCAGAGGACATTTACCCTAAATCTCTCTACCATACTCCCTGCTTTGTGAATTTGTGCATAGATAAATGAAACCAAAGTGAAAAAGCACCCCAATGCATACCATTTCCACCATGCTGCCTCTCCTTTCCTAGTTCTTCTCTCGTGTAGACACCGACGTAGCCGTCACAACCAAGTGTTGTTGCTTTTCTTATACAACAAAAGCACTTTCCCAGCATCCTCTTCGCAAACTGCTCTGCTGAGGAGCCAGAGAAGTGAGAACCTCAGTCCTCGTAGGAGGAAGATGTACCCTGTGGAGCTGTCCCAGGAAGCTAAGGGGGTGGGGGGTACTGTGACATTACTCATCTCCAGAGAGCAAAAATTGGCCTAGTAGGGGAGGTAATATGTTCCCTAGAGAAAAGAGCCTTACTCAAACACAAAGCTGAACCTAGTGCAATGAATGGCGCAGAGTGGGGTCCAGAGGGCATTGGAGGTTGTGGGGAAGAATTCGGCAGAGCTGAGTTCCAATACCAGCTCTCATACCTGCCAGTTCAGGGTTGTAGCTTCATACCTCACAGCATTATTTTCCTTTTTGGCTGTGAGAAAGCAAGGTTTCACAGGGTTATGAGGAGAACACGTGAGAAGATGCATGCACTGTGTCGCCTCCTTGGTGCTCCTGCTTGCTTCAGACCCTGGATGGGAGCTTCTAGCTGTGTGAGATGAACACGCTAGAGTAACGTGCCTCTTCCATGCATCTCTGCTTGGCGGTTGAAAGTGTAGTAATGCACCCCTGTGTCTTTGGGATCCTTCCTACTCTGTCTCAGTATGGTCAGCCTGGGTTCAAGGTCCCTTCTCCTCCTCCCCTACCTTTGGAAGGCCTGGCTGGGCTGCTGGGCCACAGGAGAATCTGCTCTGTATCCAGCGAACAGGAATGAAAATGAGATAAATTTGCAGAGGGAAACTCGACCTTGTTCTCCTTTTACCCAACTACAGAAATGACCTGCATGTGGTCGTAGACGAAGTTTACATGCTGTCTGTGTTTGATGACTCTGTCCAGTTCCAAAGTGTTCTGAGCTTGGATAGGTGAGTTTGTTTCAGCTGAGGTGGGGAGTAAGTGCCAGAGGGCCCTGCTTTGCAGGCAGAGTATGTGGAGCTGCATCCTAACTGGCTATGGCTTAGGAAGGGACTGCAGAGCCAGGAGGAGTCATAAGTGTCTTCCACTCTAAATGCCATCCTGCATGTAAGCTAACTTGAGGGCCAGGTAGCAAGGGCATTGCCAAAGGCCGAGATCAAGTCCCACTGCAGGTGTTCTTAGAAAGTAGAACTCAGAGAAGAACAGGGCAGCACCATCCTTCTGTCTGTTGTGCGTGTCTTTTTTTCTAGTACTAGAGGTTGAAGCTAGGGGTGTATTACTATTAAGCTACATCTCCAGGCCTTTAGAAACAACTTGGGTGTGTTTTGTTTTAAAGAGAAACTTTGAGAATGGATCTCGCTGAATTAACCAGGCTGCCCTTGAATTGGCCTTCATCCTTGGCCTCTGGAGTAGCTGGGATTACAGCCCCACAAGACTGCACCCCCTGTGCAGAACTTTGTGAGGGGTAGTGTTTGTCCGTGGGGAAAGGATTCCAATAAAGCAAGGGAAGGGTGTGCCTGGAGGAAGGAAGAGCTTCACCAAAGGCAGGGCAGTGGGACCCAGGCAAGCTCATTCTAGAAGCTCATTCTAAAGCTCATGGTAGACAGCCCACATGGGAGTGTCAAGGTAGCAAGGACGTAGCTTTGGCCAGGTGGAGGACAGCTCTAAGTCAGGAGCAGGTCCTGGATTTCAAGCTGTAGGTCCTTGGGAGCTGTTTCGTCTCATTCTTCAGGACAACCTTCGGAAGAGATTCTTGGACTTGGGGCCGCTTGCCTAGGAAAAGTCAAGTCTACATTCCCCCTTTCCACTCATTGACCCTCAAGTTTTCATCCATCAAATACTCCTTTGAATTTGGATTTTTCATTTCTTCTCCAGCTTGCCTGACCCCCAAAAGACCTATGTCATCTGGAGCACCAGTAAGGTAAGCCCCAACTGCCAGTCCTTGGGTCTGGGACAAAGTGGGAGGGGGCAGGAAGTCTGAAGGCAAAGGGGTCTGTCTGTCTTTCTACCCCTCTTCCTATAGGACTTTGGCTTGCGTTTTGGTGTTCTGTATACCCACAACAAAGATGTAGCCCTTGCTGTGAGCCCCTTTAGCTACCTCCACAGCATCTCTGGCATCACCCAGTACCGCCTGCACCGCTTGCTCCAGGACAGAGGTACTGACTGCACCTTAGGGTAGCACCGTGGCCACAGAGAATGCCTGGGTGATCTGGGGCTCTCTGGATGTGGCCTCAGGATGCTGAGATACCCTGGCACTGTCAGGCATAACCATGGCAGCATGGCTGGATGCAGCTCAAAGTGTAGTGGGCATGGAAAGAAGACAGAGGTACCATCCAAAACACAGGATGGACCTTCGCTCTTTTACATAATGCTGTCTTCAAATTATTTGTTTAGATTACCAGTATAAACATTGCAAGTTTGGGGAAAAAACATTATCGGCTCCTTTCAATAGACCAGCAGAAGTCTACAGCACAACTATCTAAGCTATCCTGTGTGTAGAGATAAATGAATCTTTTTTCCTTCTTTCTTGTCCTATTCCTGATCCCGGTTTTGGGCTTTCCTTCTTCATGGCCTACACCTTTGGGTCTGCCTGGAACAGAGGTACTCCGTTGTCCTCTAAGACCTGTAGGCAAAGCCTTCAGCAATAAAGCTTTATTTCCTTCTACGACATACTGATTGCCTCAGGCACAGATTACAGAGAAATATCCGGACTGTTTTTACGCAGCTTGGTCTCATTTTTCAAGGTGGTCAAAGGACAACTGCCCCTTGGGCAAGAAGGCATGGTTAGGTCTGTGGCATCTAGGTGGACCTTCCCACTTAGACCTCAAGTGACTACTGGCCCCAGAGATTTCTCTTTCATCCCACAGCCCAAGCTTAGAAAATACCCATTTTTTAAATTTTCTATAGTAAAATTGATGGTAGGCTAAAAGTCTTAAATGAAGAGCTAGTGTAAGTGAAATAAACTAATGTCATTAGATTAGCAGATACAGGAAGTTTGCTTTCAGTTCTGGGCAGGGAAGGAGGTAGACAGGACAAATCCAACAGGGTGCATCCCTACAGGGTGTCGGCATCTTTGATATTCACCTGAAACTGGGCCCCAGCCCCCTTGAACACCGATTCTCAACTTTGGGAATACCTGGGATTTGTTTTGAGCTTAAAGATGATTGTTGCTTCCATTCCCAAAGATTCTGATTAACATGATCTAAGTCATGACCTGGGCATCACGGCTTCAAAGAGTTGCCAAAGTGCCTCTTCTAGGTTTGCAGTAACTGCCTATAATTGTGCTGAACCCAGTTATATTCTTTTAAGCTCATTTGGTGAGGTCCAAAGGAATATGTAAGGGATGACCCAAGTACCTGCAAATGTACCCAGTTGATAATTGCAATAGCAGCATCATTCTCCTCTATGGAATGCACTGCCTCACGGGTTGAAATTGAAAAATATATTCCTTGTGGACTGCCGCCAAGCCCAGGTTTCTCCCGAGCTATAGGTAAGAGGTGGGTGGGTTGGACAGGGTTGCTACAGCTCCCAGGCAAGACAGACTTGGAACTGGATAGGAGCTGGCACGAAGCTCAGGTAGGGAGATGGGGACGTAGGCCTCTGGTAAGTTTCTCACAACATCTATGACCATTCTCTGTTCCACTTGTCCAGACTGGATTGATAAAGTATACCTGCCCACCATTCGCTCAAGGCTCGCGACAGCTCATGCGTATGTCATCCAGAAGCTGCAGGAATTGGAGGAACAGTTGAACTTTAATACCATCTTTCACAGTCGCAGCTGCGGCCTTTACCTCTGGATCAACTTGAAAAACGTGAGGTCTAGGAATGGGGACAGGTGCTCCCGGGCTGAGCCGTGAGGGAGGCGTGGGCTCAGCTCTGTTCCTCTGCCTGCCCTAGTTACTGGAACCGTGTACATTTGAAGAAGAGCTGGTCCTCTACCGCCGCTTCCTGGACCACAAGCTGATCTTGTCCCGAGGCCAATCCTACCTGCTTAAGGAGCCTGGCTGGTTTCGCCTCTGCTTTGCAGAAAATGAACAGGAACTAATGGATGGTAAGTGGTGCTGACCTTCTAGTCCTAGCATCCCATAAAGATGCCCTGACAATTCCTTTTTTTTTTTTTTTTTTTGGAATTTTTTTTTTTTTTTTTTTTTTTTGCGGAACCGGGGGCTGAACTCAGGCCCTTGTGCTTGCCAGGCAAGCACTTATTCTACTGAGCCATCTCCCCAGCCCTAACAACTCCCTTCTAAGTTAATTCCTAAATGTCTTTCTCTTTTAAGAAAATATTTTGCACTTAGCACCCTCTAGATTCAGCCCTTTAAGCATATGTTTCCATTTTCATTGTGTTGTTTTTATAAACAGGAAGTAATTTCCATCTCTTTGCGTACTCATTCATTTTATCCTCTGGGTATGTTTGGTGCCTGTCACTGAGGGTAGCATTGGGCCCAGGACTGAGTTGGAAGAAGTGGCCCTTCCTCTCCTGGGGATGGCCCACAAGCAGGGGGGACGACCACATGACACAGACTCCAAACGCTCTGGAAGTTATGGGGAACATTTTGACTTTTAAAGTATTTATTACATCCTATGACGTGCCACACAGTGTTGTATTTCATGGGAATACAACAGCGACTCATTCCCTTGGAGGCTGGACTAGTGCAATATCTGGGGTTTAATGCAGAAAACATGAGTTAAGAAGCAGCAGAGCCAGGGATGGCATCTGACAGGGGACACAGATGCCTGCGAGGCTGAGGATGTGAGATTCTGACGTTGAGGGCAGTTACAGGCTGCAGTCTTATCCCGAAGGGTAGGCTGCAGTTCAGCATCCCTGGCCAAGAGACTCGTTGTCTAATGTGACCTGGCTACGTCGGTCCCCACTTGCAGTCCCATTAAGTTCTTGTTTCTCTTTCTCCATTTGGACCCTGCAGGCATGCAGCGGTTTGGTGAGGCCATAGCGGAGCAGAAGCAGTACGTGATGGAGAAGGCATAGTGCAAGATACCCCAGAGAATATAATAAGTGGACTGCTCTGGGAACGACAGCAATGGACACGGTCATCAGCCTCTGTCACCCCAGCGTCGGTCACCTTTGGAAGTGCTGCATCCTCTCAGCCTCTGCTGGTCATGGTGCTTGTAATGCTTTTATTGGGGTTCCGGTGGAGAGCACTGAGGCACCTGAAGGAAAGTGGGAACTCTTGGGGTCTCTTTTATATGGTTCTATTTTTTTATTCAATGTCTAATAAATGCTGTATTTTCTTAAACTTCAGGCCTCTTTTCATTGTTCATAATCACCTCAGGAACAGGACAATTTCTCATGCCTTATCCATTTTAGAAACAGGTACACTGTGAAGCCCCCATGGAGAACAGGCCAGCACAGAAGTGACCGCCCCCCGATGGAACACTTTGTGACCACGGGAGCAGCCTCTCAGGCCCTCCCTAGAGCACATCTACCTTTGTCCCAGGTGCTGAGTGGCAGGTTTGGGGTACAATTGTGGGTAGTCCCAAATACAGGACAATCTTCCAGTCTTACCTTTTCAAGAGCATTTTAAAAGAAATCTTTGAAGAGAAGCTTGTCTGTCTACACTTCTCTAACTGTAGACCAGAATCTGGTGTTTTACCATTCATAATTCTGGAGGCTACAGAGACTAGGATCAAAACCTGGATGGACTTAGAGTCAGGTGAGGACCCGTATTGTCACTGTGACTTCAGTGGCAGGAGGGATGAGGAGTTTCCTTTCTGTATGACATGAGTCACCTCCAAAAGGCCCCACATCCTGCTATTACCATCTAGGTGTGAGGGTTTCCAGCCCAAGTTTCTGAGGGACATATGCTTCGCGACTCTCATATCTGGCATCTTTCTTTCCATCTCTACTGTAGATAGCTGTTAAAGTCACACTCCTATTGTGAGCTTTTCCATGTAGCCCTTTCCCATCTGGACAATGGGGCTCTGTACCCAGCAGAACCGTGAATCCCACTATCGTATAGGCAAGTGGTGATGAACCCGTGGCATGTGTGCCGCAGTGGACTCTGTGCCACTGTTGCCACATAAGCCAAGCCAAGGTTTTTTTTTTCCAAATCTAAAATTGCACTTAGAAAATTCTGTAACATTTGCAGACAACCCTAGAAGTCATCAGGGGATCTACAAGGCATTTTCTAGCATTGTAGCTACAGCCCAGGTCCACAAGGGGGCGACAACCCTGTGTTTTCTTCTCCAGATAAAGCTAATTCAAACTTGATCTATGCAGCTCTTTTTCTTTTTTCTTTTTTTTGAAACTTTAGTGTATTTTATTTTAATTTTTTCCCATAATTTTATTGATAAACAGATAGCAATGAGACAGTTTCAGATCAAATTGGTAACTTGAAGAGGATAGATTTTCAGAATCTGGAAAGGGAGCTGTTGGAATCCAAGAAAGCTCTCTGTGGAAAAATACTTTGCCCTGCGTGCAACACTTGAAGACAAAAAGACAAGAGTGGGAAGGAGTGGCGAGGGACAGCACCTCGGAGAGATCGGAAAACTCCTTAAACTGTGGAATTCTCTGCCCAATACTTTTAAGTCAGTGGAAGCACTTGGGATTGAGTTTTTTACTCTGATCTTCTGCTTGTGAGCAGCTGATCTAAGCTTGTATACCGGATTATGTTAGTCATAAAATCTGTGTCTAATATGATACAAGAAGCAGACTAGCAGATGACCTGCATACTAGTGAGGCAGGAGCCAAGGGCTGAGGGGTCATTGGCTTGGCACAGCGGCGCAGGCCCAGGACCTGTGCAGAGCTGCGCCACAGGCAAGCTCTTCCCTTCCCAGAAGCAGCTGTGAGTGCCATTGAAAGCTGTTACCTTTAATATAAATGATGTTAACCTCTGAGTTGCTGTATCTAAACTCAAATTCAGTGATCAGGTTTAACTGTGGTGTTGGCACCCTGCCATAAGTAAGTGGGTTTTGTGTCGCATTTTAGGGGCTTGGTCTCTAATAAAAGTTTTGCCACTCTATCATAGATACTAAAAAACTTTCAGTCCCAACTGATGGGTCTCATTAGCTACTTGGATTTGTGACCACACTCTCCCATGGGCCCAGATTTGCTTGCTTGCTTCTTTCTTTCTTTTCTTTCTTTTTTCCTTTCTTTCTTTCTTTCTTTCTTTCTTTCTTTCTTTCTTTCTTTCTTTCTTTCTTTCTTTCTTCTTTCTTTTTTTGTATTTTAGGGAAGGTCCTACAGGGTGTTCAGGGTCTCACTACTAGATCGGACTCCTAGTGATCCGCCTGTTTACAGCCTCCCAAGCTGGGATTACAGGCGCGCACCACCACGCCCAATCTCATGTGCCAGCTCAGCGCACCCCAGGGGGTCAGGGCTGGCACACAGGCCTGGAGATTGAATCCCTGGCCCCTCTGCCTGCTTTCAGGCACTTTAGTCCACTGAGTAGTTGGCCAGCCCATGGCTCTTTCATTTCCCAATGACAATATTTTGGTTAGATTTTTTAAAAAAAAAATAAGCATGCCAGGGGATTCTGGTTCTCCTGGTTCATTTGTTTGTGTCCATCAGTTGGAATCTGATCAAACTTACTGGTGAACGCTGTCATTCACAGTAGGCTTTCATTAGTTTGCTACGTGGTGTGCGCCTCTTAATCTTAAACTGCCCCACAGAACCATCCTGTCCCACCAGCTTCCACTTGTATGATCGCTGTGCTGGGTCTTGACCCCTTCCTTGCCTTTTTATAGGCAGGAGCAAACTCCCAAACCTTCTTAGCGGCCCCTTCACAAAAGAGATACCAGGTCCACACCAAACCAGCACACAAGCAGCACCAGGAGCACCAGGAGGAAGCAGCAGCCTCTTTGACCCATTTTGGCTTTACTTTCTGTAGTACGTGGTAAGAGATATGGGTCTAGATTGAATCTTCTGCATGTGGATAGCCAGTTTCCCCAACACCATGCATGGTAGAAGCCATGTTTCTTCCACTGTTTTTGTGGCCCTTTGTCAAACATCAGATAGCTGAGTGTGTGTGGTTGGGGCGTTGAGACTCCATTATGGAAACTATATGAACAAGATGGCCTCAAAGGAATCTCGCTGAGTATGTACGATCTAAGTAGAGGCAAAGGCATCCTTGAGCCTGGGTACCCATGTGGCGACAATAGCTCTGTTCACACAGAATTCAAGGGGTAATTAATACACAGTAGAACACACAGATCTAATGTATACCACTTAAGTTCCAAAACTTGGATGCAAATAACCCATGACCTAATTAAGGTACAGAATGTGTCTATCACTGCCAGAGATTCTTGCTTATTTTTGGCTAACTCTTGCCCCATACTGCTTCTTGAATTCTGCAAGTTTTAGGACCCTGTGTAAATGGAATCATAAAAATGTGTGGAGCCTGCTTTGTTCATTCGGTGTACAGTGCTCACCTATGCTTCTGTACGGATTAGTAGTTCATTCAGTTGTAATGCTGAAGTGCATCCTATTGCACGAAAAAGTTTATCCATCTATTCATTGGTCGGCATTTGATTGCTTCTGCTTTGAGGCTATCAGAAACTTAAGTTACTAACAATTGGGAAAAAGTATGTTTTCTGGTTATAAATTTCATCTTATGTCAGGGAAATTTCTAGCAGCTGAATTTTTGGATCATCCTAAATATATACTTTACTTTCTAAGAAACAGATTTTCCAAAGTGTTTGCACTATTTGACACTCCTAATAGCAGTGCACAAGAACTCTGGGCACTTGCTGGACACTTGGTGTCATCAATATCTTTTCTGTCCTTCTTGTAGGTATTTCAATTTCATTCCAACTTTGTCATGTGATGTAGTGCTGTGACAAGCATCTTTCAATGTGCTCAACGGCCCCTCCCATCTCCTTTGTGATCGCTCACACAACTGTGTTACTCTGAACACAAGCCCTCTAGTAGATAATATATTGCCTACACTTTCTCCTGGTCTTGTGCTTTCATTCTTATGTTCTTAATGACAGAAGTTTTAAAGTTAGACTAGCAGAAGTTTTAACTTATCTTTCCCTTTTATGTGTAGTCTAAGATTTCTGGACACAAAGATTCCTTTTCTTTATAAGTGGAAGAGTTATAGCTTTTATCTTTAAACCTATGAATCATTTCCAGTGATTTTTGTTGATGAGGTAAAGGTCACGATTTTTCTGCATAGAGAAATGTGTTTTTCCCAGAATCATTTGAAATCTGTTTTCTTTCCTCATTGCATGACCATGGCATCTTTGGTCTAAAACAAAATCAGTTAGCCATGTATGTGTAAGGCAATTCCGGGATAATTTCTCCTGTATCCTTACTCTGTGAGGCTATTCTTATCTACATTACAATATCCTAGGGCCTTCCAGATAGCTCAGTGGACTGAAGCATCTGCTTAGGCAGAGCACAGGGGCCAGGGTTTGATCCCCAGAGTGCTGCGCCAGCCCCACCCCCACGGTGCATTGAGATGGTGATTGAGACTGGGCGTGGTGGCATGGGCCTGTAATCCCAGCACTTGGGAGGCTGAAAACAGGATCACTATGAGTCTGATCTACATAGTGAGACCTGATAGACCCCATAGACTCTGTACTAAGTACATTAAATAAATAAATAAATAAATAAATAAATAAATAAATAAAACAATGTCCTGGTCACTGTGGCTCCTGGGTGATTGTTGTAATCAGGGCTAGAAGTCTGCCCACTTGATCTTGTCCAAAATTTCTTGAGTCTTGCTTGGCCCCTTGGATGGCCATATAAACTCCAGAAGCAATTGGTCAGTTCCTATAAAGTGCTTTTGATATTTCCCAGAATCGCTAGATCGTGTGAAGGAGAAGCAGCACCTTCCATCAGCGTGAAAACGCTCTTCACACATCTAAGTGTGTAAGTTCTCCACTGTTTCAGTTTTCAGCACACACGTCCTCCATGTATTCTGTCATACCTCAGTGTATTACACCTTTTGTGCTATTTTCAGTATACTCGTTCGTGTTATTCTCTAAGCGTTGCTAGATGGATGTGATGCTCAATCTTATATGCCA